AAAAGCCTAAAAGACGCCAAAAATAAGCCAAAGCCCAAGCCTCTGCTTGGAGAGAACAATGGACTCATCTCCTAGCAGATCCTAGGGTGGCATAAGGTCAAATGGCCGGGCAGTATCCATTGGCCAGAGGGGGGCCAATATGCCACCCAAGATCCGCAGAAAGTCGACCCTCTCTGGTCAATGGACACTGCCTGCCCAATTTGATATTGTCTTATGCCACCCTAGGATCTGTTTGGAGATTTTGATACAATGGACGCCTGTCCGAGACGTGTTCACACAGCGCCGAGCTTCTCTAAATATTGACTCTCGCTTTCAGAAGTCTTGTGATGCCGTCTCCGTCCTTAAGAGCAGTGGGAGAACCTCGTCACGTGCAGAACACTTTTTCTTGACAGCTTGTTTCTATGACAACGGAGCTTGAGGCTCACACAAAGAAAAGAAACACGTCCGTCTTAACGAACTCCATGACTCGCAGGGGGTCTTTCTCGTGTAAAATTCAAACAAAATGATCTTAATGGGTATTGTTCGTCATCATGGGTGTTCTCAGGGTCACAGTGGGTCACCTGGACAGGGACAGACACTGGTTGAAGAAAAAAAGGTCCTTCTATCAGTTGGAAGAAGGACGTCGACGTTACAAATACTATACTACTAGTAATACGACAGAATAGTATGTTTTGTCATAATTTTGACATTTTTAGACTCGCATATGCTACGATTAGGTCTTAGGCTTTGCAAAACGAGCCTCATCCCAGAAGTGAAAATTCCTTGTTTTTCAAGAGCTATTATAAATGAAAACTTAAGCATCTTTATTACGTAGTCACAGAAAACACATGCCTTGAAAAGAAAACAGATTGTTGTATGGTGTAGTAACGTTATATGGAACCAGCCGTCGCCGCATACCTGTGTAGCTAATTCGTTGCCCCGCAAGGCAGTTAATTATACCGGTTGTCTGATACGTACAGGTACTTACAAACAAGCAAGACGCACACTTGTTTCTGTAATCACAGCCTATCACAGACAGAAGGGAGGGGAAGACAACAGTCTGTTGCCCAACAGGAAGTACACCAGTAGTACGTGATCGCGCTCTATTCGGTTACCTAGCGACGCCATCTGTTCGAACAGGTGTTCTGTGCAGACGACGCTTGTTTGTCGCCGGAGGCCCGGCGGTCGGTATGCCGTCCATCCGTACGATAGATGCATATCTCTGTGGGAAAATACCGGCCAGTGCAAAACGTTATTGATTCTAAATCCTGTGACCCGTCTTCAACGGAAAACAAACGTTCTATTGTTCAAGGACGCGCTGCCCTTGTGGGATAATAACATGGTGGCGGCGGTTCTGCACGGGCGAGGGACGATGGGTAATTCCCGGCGGGCCCCGGGAGGAGTGAGGGTGTGCTGGGGGCCACCTGTCGTCTGGAGTCCCGCCTTTGTTCCGTCTCGGAGTCGCCTCCATCATGGTTAAACGGTACATTGGCTCTGTTTAGGAGGGTGGGACGAGTCTTTGTCTGTTCTTACGAGGCAGTGTGCAACCTAATCCACCATAAATCTCACACATGTAACGGTTAACACTCATGTCTGACAACCGCCAAGGGCCCGGTTCTTCTTATTTATTCTCGCTCCTTTTACTGTTTAGCTCTTTTTAAAGGATTGTAAGAAATTGGAAAACTTGTGAGTAACTAGTGATCGGATGAAGAGAAATGTGAAATAAACTGCTTTTATGCAAGATATGTATTGATGATAAGTTGATATATATATTCCACGTTTAAAATCAGCAAAGGATTTGACCCAAGATTTGACTCTATTTCAAGTATTTATACAAGCCTGCAGTGCCAAGCGATTACTGATAATACTAAATATAGACTGTTCCAACTCGAACGCGTCGAACCCCCCGTTCTAGTTCGGCCCTTCGGGGTGTTCGAAATAGAACATACCGGGGGTTCGACGTGTTCGATGTGTTCTATTGTCATGTAGCTAAAAGTGGCTGTATTTGGACGTGCAACAGGTCCAACACAAAGAGGTTGAACCCTGGAAAAAGTGAATGATCTTTGGTCACGAGATGGCTCCGATTAATGTAAATGTAGCAGAACGATGCGCGAAACCCTGACGGAAGTCATATTTATCCTGGCTTTATAAGACATCAGAGCAAATCATCTATTCGTCCTGGTGCTGAGCCTCAAAAGGGCGTCCGCGAAATCCAACCTGTCCATTTCCGGTTGCTGTGTTTTTGGAGAGCTGTGTTTAGTATCGGTTGGCGCAGTCTGTACATGTTTGCGCTAGCCTCCGTGGCAGGCTTATAGAACTGGGGATTTGGTGATCTTCGGCTGTTTTCTGATTAGCCCAGATCCAAAAACGGGGGTAATTCAACCAGGCCGGCTATGTTGTCTATGTGCAATCAGAAAATAGCACATAAAAGCTCCCGAAGACCTCCAAACCCCTCATACCAGTTTTTGGCATGCTATGGAGGCTATGTTTGCGGTGTGTAGCGGACAGTGACGAGCATACAGGTACACCGGTGCGTGCAAGACGGGGCGGAACTCGCCGCGGTGCGTGGCAAAAACAATGTCGTGTTTTCATAAGAGCGCTTTCAAGACAAAACGGCAGGACAAGATGTACACATGTACACAAACTGCGGGGTGCTTTAGCGGAAGGACGGCAGGCGACCGAGAAAAAGGGGGAAATGATGCCAGAGGGAAAGCGGAACAGTGGGGTTTCGATGTTTGAACAGTCACTAATTGATTCAAATCCCAAAAGTAAATGACTAATCGACCGGCAACGCACTTAAAACTACTGATACTGATCCATTAGTTTTACCAAATTCTGTGATTTATAAAAAAATGTTACAATGTTAGTAAATAAAGAGGTAACGTTATATGATTTACAAAGAAACAACAAGAACAGGTGCTACGCACAAATCTTTAGGACCTGTTACAGTCCCCTCCTCTCTTTGACAAGACACAATGAAGCATCACATCATTAAGGTGTCCTTTTTCAATGAGTTCCCATTTTGGAGTGACAGACGGACAAATTATTCCGACAACTTCATCAAAACAGTGAACTGGAGACGCGAGACAATACAAACATCCTGATCTAGCCGTCATGTCAGGAACAGGTGTCGTTTTTCGCACAGGTTGTAATCTCCAAGCAGATCCTAGGGTGACATAAGACAGTATCAAATTAGGCAGACAGTATCCAATGGCCAGAGAGTGTCCAATATGCCACCCTCTCTGGCCAATGGATACTGCCTGGCCAATTTGATACTGTCTTATGCCATCCTAGGATCTGCTTGGAGATTAGCAGGTTGCACAAAGTAGTGATGAGTGATCAGGGACGTGTATAACGTTATACATGTCACTACTGCCATAGCTGTTCCAGTTTTCATTTATCTACTGCTAAGAGTTATCTATATTCTTATATGTTTAATCAAAAGACCATATATGTCATCTGTGTTTAGATTTTTCTTGATTCTTTCGTACTTTTATCGGCAATGGTAGCATCCCATTTGTAGTAGACACGTATGTTACTTGGCTGAATTGTATACTGTTATTATGTAATTACTGTAATACCCACTTATGTACCGTTACGCTGTAATAATATAGGTCTCTATTGTGGGTCTCTATTGTTCTGTTCTCGATGATAAATCATACGGTCGGTGTAAGGTCCTGACAACTGTGGGATCTCACGAATAATGGCTTCCCGTCGGTCAGTGTAACAACGTAATAATGAGGGTCATTCATAAAGCTGTGGAACTAATAATCATCTCACTGTAACGAGTAACGGACTGTTGAGTTTAGCGGCTGGTAACAGAGAATAGAAAACAATCATTGAGAAGATGGAGCGGACGTTTAGCTTTGCTTCTAACGCTGAAATTGTGAATTAGAACGTTAGAATTAGAACATTGGATTGGCACATTAGAATTAGAACATGGTCAAGGGTAATTTATCGTGATTATCATTGTCAAAAGCCGTGACACCGAAATGCAAAAATATTTTATTTTGCGGTCGACAAGTTGACCTTTTTGACCATTTGTATCATAACAGGATACAAACTTTGAATGCTAACTTATGCTATTTGGCACACAGGAAAACGAATAGAAAGAGAGAAACAGAGAGCGAGAGAGAGAAAGAGTGAGTGAGTGAGTGAGTGAGAGAGGCAAGAAGAGGCAAGCAGAGACAGAAAGACACGTACATACACTTACAGATAGAGACAGATGCAGAAAAGTGTCTAGAAGCTACATTCAACAACAGTGTCGTGTTTTGTCAATCTCACATCCACAGATCGCCCGCCACAAACACGACTGTTTGCTGTGTTTACAAGTAAGCTGCCATGCTGATGTGGACAGTTTTCCCGACAGGTGCGCTTACCTGGCGGAACACGCTAAAGAAAACACCTGTCCGAACATCACCTGAGTCACCTGGAATCACAGCCTGCTGACCATCAGGTCAATGACCCCCATCCGGTGTCTGTTCCTACCCTAATCTGTGCTATCATAACTTCCTTTGCTCTGTTTTCATACAAAGACGAAAGAGCGCCCTCATTACCCCTGGCGAGGTTAGCTGTTTTCTGAGGAAGAGGGATGTTGGTTTAGGATGAGAATGGAGAATGATTTTCCTTTGTCAATAAACTTATAATAATATAACTCTAGATTTTCCATAGAAGGTAGAAATCAATTGCTAAAATTTGGGACAACAATTGAGTAAAAAGAGAGGTGCATTAGAGGAAGATGGTCGTGTTTGTAATTACTCCCAGCACTGTCTCGGACTCAGACAAAAAGTGACGCCGTTGATTGTCCACATAAGACAAGCTGGCCACGGAGTCCTGGTGTACAACAGCGCTCTTGGCGATTTTATCAAGTACTGCAAGTAAGGAGACTTTCACCAATACTAGTATTACGGAAGGCAACAAATGAAACAGAAACCACTGCAGCAACGATGGAAGCAAGTCCAAACCACACGTCTTTTTATTTTCAAATCTGCAAATCTGTATTTTTTGCAAGAAAGTGTAGCTTAGTTCTTGGCCTTCTTGGTCTTCTTCTTCTTGGGTCTGTGCACGTCCAGCAGCTGATCTCCCAGCCGCTTGATGTCGGAGCGGGACAGAGCCTCCTCGTGCTCCTGAGACTCGTACTCGTACGTTTCTGAAGAAGAATGTAAAGAGAATGCAGTAAAAGATTCAACGGAATTACCATAGACTTTCCTTGGCTAGCATTGTAATGTGGCTTTATTAAACTCGCATCATCTAGACAAGAATGGCATAAAATGATATTAGAAAATCGTCTAAATCCTTGTTTTATCATCACTTATAGCACCTCACAAAACAAGTGCAATGGGACATGATTCAGGACTCACCTTCATAATCCGACTCTTCCTTCTCCACAGTGATCCTCAGGTTATCCTGGCGCAAGCCGCCTTCCAGGAACGCCTGGAACTGCAGCCAACAGTGAAATACTAGTGAAGTTGGTCGTAGAAACTATTGCCATGTCTTATAATAGATGCAAAACAAGCACCAACTTAGGTTTGACCTACTGTAGCAGCTACTATTCTTATCACTCAAATAAATAATATGGATATTTTAATGCTAGGTAGCCTTCTTTCCTACCAGGCCATAAAATTTGCCGTCCTGCTGCAATGGAACTTTAAAGTTAATATTAGCTTCGGCTAGAGTTTCCACCTCTGTGTCTTGTACCATGTCTTGCACTTTGTTGTTTCAATAAAAAAAAAAGTTTTATTAAGTCACAATTCACATTTTTTTTATAAATACCTGTTGATCACAGATCTCTTCTAGACACTGACGAAAGTAATGGACACTATTTAAAACATCTGACTGGTTTGAATATCTATCCAGCAGCTTAAGCTTCAGATCAAATGAGTGGGCCGGTACACATACCCCTGAGCTCGCCATCTTCTTGTCCCTCTCGGCCCCTGGCGGTCCGACCTTGAGCTGCAGCTGTTTCATCAGGAGGAGCAGCTTCTGTTCGCAGACGTCCAACTGGTCCCGAACCTCCATCTTACTCAGCGGCACTGGGAACTTCTGCCAAGGGACAGATGAAGCGGTTGTGAGTGATACCTGAAGACGATACAGTAGTCTGTACCAGGGACAGGAACGCCATAGCGAACATAGTCAGACATCAGGAATGTATATTGTGCCAGCGGAAAATCTTTTACTCAGCACCAAGGACAGGGACGGTAATGTCACTACTAAACGTTGAAAAGCATGTAAAGCCGACGAAGGGAGAGAGGGAAGGATCTGTTAGTCACCACCTTGCTTTCAGCACCAAGGACAGGGACAATAACCTCAATGTGAACGTTTACATGTACATTTACTGGTATAAGAAGTGCAATGTGGAACAAACACAGTATATTTCAACATCAGAAGTAGAAAGAAGGGATGGCTAGCTGTCCCTGTCCTTGGTGCTGAAAGTAACGTTAGGAACTAGGCTAGCTCCTAACGTTACTGTCAGCACCAAGGACAGGGACAACAATACAGACACAGATCACTTAGCTTCTTTCTCACCTTGACGCTGATCTTGACTGTGCTGAGTTTGTCCATGAGGTTGTGGATGCCCACAGTAGCCTGTCTCAGCACGCTCTGGGTCCGCTCCAGCCGGGTACAAACAAACAAACAAACAAACAAACACACACACACACACACAAACAGACCTTGACGCTGATCTTGACTGTGCTGAGCTTGTCCATGAGGTTGTGGATGCCTGTGGTAGCCTGCCTCAGCACGCTCTGGGTCCGCTCCAGCCGGGTACATACAAACAAACAAACAAACAAACAAACAAACAAACAAACAAACAAACAAACCTTGACGCTGATCTTGACAGTGCTGAGTTTGTCCATGAGGTTGTGGATGCCTACAGTAGCCTGCCTCAGCACACTCTGTGTCCGCTCCAGTCTGGTCAGGGCGCGGGAGAACCGTTCTTCCTCCTGTTTCATGTGGTCGCCCATCTGCTCCAACAGAAGCGCGTTCCTGGCAGAAAATATATAGCGAAGACAATGAGATATTATCCTTCGTCTTTTGATAAAGAATCTTGGATCCATAACTTTTCCCAGAGCCTCTTCTTTGTTAGGGGAAAAAACTGCAAGTGTGCATTTCTGGTAAAGCTATAAAGGAAAGACTCATGGAACTGTATGTAGTCTCTTCTTTCCCCGGTGAAAACAAAACGAAATTCCAAGAAACAAGTGTTATGCTATAGCTACCCGATATCCCAACAACACTTAACGAATAACGGGTTACGTCGTGTTCAAATACCAAAGCCCAATACGACACTGCAACAAAGCTTCTTCAGGCCATTTCAATCCCTTCCACACACATAAACAACCGCTTTGAGGCAGGATTCCAACCCTTCCAAACCATTTCCAACCCTTCCAAACCGTTTCCAACCCTTCCAAACCGTTTCCAACCCTTCCAAACCCAATATATTACTCCACTCACTGTGAGACGCCGGCCTCCCCGCTGTACTTCAGCTCCTCGAACTCTGCGGTGAGCCTGAGCTTCTCCTCCCGCAGCACGGCCCGGAGCTGCCCGGCGTCCCGGCTCTGCTTCTGCAGGTGCCGAGTCATGCCGTCCTGCGTCTGGAACTGCCACACGATGTCCTGATGGATGGAAAAATTTTTTTTGTTGTTTTCTATAATGCCAAAGGAAGTAATTTTTAGGATGACATCAGCACACGCATTCATTTTCGCCTGATTTTGGAAAAAAAGAAATTGTTGTCCTTTGAACTGCCCGTCCTGCGTCTGGCACTGCCACACGATGTCCTGACGGTGAGGAAAGTACAAGAAAGGTTTTAAACTAGAACCATGAAACTCCAGATGTCTTAATACTTAGGCACAACTGCAGCGCCAAAGATGTCGGTCGGCTGAGGAATGATTTCACGTTACTTGTGGAGGCTTTGGATGTAAATGTTATCGCTGCAGGTGCCGCGTCATGCCGACCTGCGTCTGGAGCTGCCACACGATGTCCTTGGGGGATGGGGAAAGTTTACTAGTATTAGTATATTATGGAGGGCGTCCAAAAGAGACGTGGCGGAGAACAATACAGAGGGACCTGAAAGAGAGGGGGCTGACTCTGGACACAACCCCGAACACAGCTGCAGATAGGGCCAGACGGAAATCCTTCCTGTCGCCTCAAGGACCACTAGGTTCAGAAGAGGATTGAGTGAGAGTGAGTGAGTGAGTATATTATGGTGCTGGTAGTAGAAGTAATATTAAAGTTACTCCCGCAGCACGGCTCGGAGCTGTCCGGCGTCCCGGCTCTGCCTCTGCAGGTGCCGGGTCATGCCGTCCTGCGTCTGGAACTGCCACACGATGTCCTAGCGGTGGGTGGGAAAAGTATATGGTAAAGGTAACGGTAGTAGATGTAAGGTTTTAAACTGGAACCATGCGGCTCCAGATGCCTTACTGAGGAATGCCGTCCTGCCTCTGGAATTGCCACACGATGTCCTAACGGTGGGGAAACATCTTTCTCACTGCACGAAAAGTTGGATTTACCAAAGGTAGTAAACTCAGGTGATGTTTACTTTGTATATAGTATCTGGCTTCACAATGGTAGTAAATAAAAGTCAAGTCCGGTAATTTTTTAATTTACCCTTGTTAAGTCCGGAATCACGGTTTTGGAGGACTCAGTCGGGTGTTGGGGGCAAACCTACTAGTATGGCCGGGATTTCTTGCGATTGCTAAGTCATTTGTAAAAAAAAAAACTCAAGAAAACTATACATATCCGTATTGCTAGGAGACTGTTTCCTGTTTGATAAAGACCTTGCTGACATGTCACTGTACATGCATGTTATGCTGCAGAACTACCGAAAGACCAATAAGTAGACGAATTCTCCTGGCCTTACGTTAATGTCGAAGACGACCGTCGCCTCCTTGATCAGCCGGAACGCCTCCTCGTACGTCTGGATCTGCTCGGCGCTTTTGGAGATGGACAGACGGGAGACCGGGTGGTCTGTGGAGCGGAAAATAGCGACATATTACTTTATTTTCGTCCAAGGGTGTCATTTCAATGATTTGTTCATTGTAAGGGCGTCATTTCAATGATTTTACTGGTCTATCAACGTCTTTGTCTAGGAGTAAAGTATGAACTGCCGATACTTACCATGGGCGTGATCGTCGGCATGGAAGGTTGCGCGTTGAGCCTGGGAGAGGGACAAAAATACAAAGAATGTTGGCAGCAAGTAAAGCAAAGCTCAAAGTCTTGACTTTGCTATAAAATGTGTACATCTTTGAACACTTTTTGAGACTTTCTGTTAACAACATGTCCCCAACACTTGCCATGTACATAAACGTCCGGTAGTGCTCTAGAGAATATATAGAGTAAAATCTTTGTAGATTTGAATTATGAACACGGTTTCAGTGTGTTCTGGGCACGAGATGACGTGACTTATGCTGTCACCACGACAACGTGACGTGTGCCGTCTCCATGACAACGTGACGTCTCCATGGCAACGCTCACCCGTTTCTCGGCCTTCTCCGCGAACTCCTTCTGTTTCTCCACCTGCTTCTTCTTCTCGTTCAGGGTCTGCTCGCGCATGCGCTTCGCCTCGAAGTGGGCCTGCTCCTGCTTCTGCAGATCCGACTGCGGGGAAACAGGAAATGACGTCATTATGCTTCCTGTTACGTCAAAGCTATAATGGTAATGCAAAGCAAGAAGAACACCACAAAAAAGAAATTTAAGAATCTGTTAATAAATTTTTCAGAATTTTTTTCGAATTTTTTTGAATTTTAGAAAATTTTCAGAATTATTTCTTCATTTTTTTTAGAATATCATCAAGAAATGTTACCATATCGGTACAAAGAAACGCATCTATAGCCATTCAACGGAACCTACACCCGGCCCGTCTCCTACCTTGGCGACGTCCTTGGACAGCTGCGCGTCCTGCTGGATGGCCCGCAGCTCCGCCAGCTCCTTGTTCTGCGCGCGGATCGCCAGCTCCATGGCGTCAAGCTTCTCCGGGAATACCAGGCTTTCCTGGAAAACAGTAGAATGTAGTACATATACTTTTCATTTTGGGTCATCAGCGGTCATTCGAACAGAACGCGTGTTCCATTTGGTGTCAATTGCGGTCATTCGAACAGAACGCGTGTTCCATTTGGTGTCAATTGCGGTCATTCGAACAGAACGCGTGTTCCATTTCGGGTCAACGGTGGTCATTCGAACAGAACGCGTGTTCCATTTGGGGTGATAGAATCATGGCGGTATAACCAAAATGAAAATGGGGGCTTCTAACAGTTAGTCAAGCAACTGGATAGATTTTCGGGTGTGGTGTATTGAAAAGTAAGTAACTGTTACTTTGGTAGACGTTTTCAAGGAAAACAAATGGACTTAAAGTTCAGCCGACCTCCTTGAGATAGTGCAGGATCTCCTCGTACGTGTGGCGGATGTTCTTCGCCGTGTTGATCCGGATCCGCATCTTGTCGATCCGGTTCTCCAGCTGACGGATCACCTGGTGAACAAAAAATACATTGTCTTAAACTCTTGCTCGAAGGTTAATTGCAACTGAAAACACAGTAACGATACCGTAAAAGTTGAAAAGTATCTAATGTTTCAACGTATATTACATGAATGCTGGTGCCTTTTAACGTCTCCAGTGACAGTGACATTGTCATCCCTGTCCTTGGTGCTGCACGGTTCTCGATACACGTGAACTATCTAGAACTGTGCCTGAGCATGGGTTTGGATAACGCACGGTTCTGGATACGCGTGGAGTATCCAGAACCGTGCCTAAGCATGGTTCTGGATAACGCACGGTTCTGGCTACAACATGCCGGACCTGTTCCTGTTCGATGTCCTTGGGTCCCTTTGACCCCGCCAGTTCCATGGAGTCCAACAGGGTCTGCAGGTCGCGCAGGCGCTGTTCGCACATGCTGCGCTGGTGCTGCAGGGAGTTGTACCGCTTCGCCTCCTCACAGCCCTTCTGGTCCATCAGGTCTATGGCTTTCTGCGGGGCATCAGGAAAAATATGATGCCTTAAATCCGTTTGTTCTTCTGATGGCTGTACAATAAGTTACTCGACACTGTAAGGATACTGGACACTGAACAAGACTATTTTCTGAGAGGGATGAAAGAGGCTATTTTCATATTTACATCAGGGTCCATCACCCTTCACCCAACCGCGACGGGGGCCGACATCGTCTACCAGATACCTTTGACCCAGTGTCGACGTCACACTTCAAAGACGCCACATGACAAGCGTCAAACCTCACTGGGTCAGTCTACTGGGGAAGGCCAGAGCGACTGGTCGAAAGCTCTAGCTGAGAGAACTTTATTGTGTTGGATCTAAAGTTTTAACTTTAAACATGTAACTACCAACACAGAACTTTCATGATAAGTCACATTTATGACACATGCTTGACAGATCGTCCCAGACCTTAGCGGTGTTCCTGAGCATGGCCAGCCGGGTCGTCTTACGTTCCAGGAACACCTGGTGGATCACCTCTTCGTCACGCTGGGGAGAAAAGACACAGATAAAGATAAAAAAGACAAGGATGCAAATGTTTTATACCCCTGGCCTACAGAAGTATCCAAGTTTCCCTAAACGACACACACTAAACTCTGGCTTTAAGGGCACGGTGCCCAAAATGTAGAATTGAAAATGTTTATCGACTGAGACACATAACGCTAGAAAACATCCATTGGACACAAGCCTTACAGACATTGAGAATAGAAAGTCTAGGTTTGTTTTCGTGTAGTAAATGAACACGGACTTGGTGCCCACTATGCCAGGCGGAGAAGACATTGAGTTTGAGACATCTAGTTTTATCTAATAAGGCAGTAAATCGTTTTGGGACTCTGCCAACACTACCTACTAAGCTAGGCGGAGAAGACATTGACAAAGTCTAGTTTTACTCAGTGTTTATCATGTGCTTACGTTCTGTGACTGTGCCAGCGCCACCCTCTGCTCCTTGTTCCCGGCGTGCAGTGCGAGGACCAGGTTCTCGTTCTTGGCGATGGCCCGACGGGAAGCCTCATAGTACGCCTGTCTGTCACGGTCTGCGGGATAGATAATAAATTTTGAATAACGTCAAGTATCTGTAATTTTAACTTTCGCGAGTTTATGTTGTGAAGTGATCGGTCATTGATTATCCTGATAAAGGCGACAGTGGTCATTGAAAATTTGATCGTTGTGTAACCATTGTGTTGGAATAAAGTTCAGCATTTTACTGATTACTACCAACACAGATGAACTTTTATGATAACAAACTTTGAAGTAACAAGGTTTCTCGACCATTCGCCGTTGGGACGCTACAGTTCGCCTTCAAGAGGACGCCTAACCTTAACCGTTATATAGCCCTAACCTCAATCCTAACCCATGCAGCTTAGAAGTTGTAGCTAAAAACAGTTATTTGTAGGCTTAGCTTTGCACACCAATACAGGTGTATGAGAATCGTCTTGGCAACGTATATTAAAGGTCCTGATACCCAGAACAGAGCAACAGTATCTAGCTTTTTCTCTTCTATTTTGACGCTACATTAAGCGTAAGTCCAATGGCATATAACGTTATATATATGAAACGCCGTGACTTTGTCGAAGTACCATAAAACGCAAGAGTTTCCATTTCTGGCCATTGTACGTCACATTAGTGAAAAGGGGGTTTCGTGTGCTGTAGTTGTTTTCTATTCACAAACACGTAAGATTAGAAAGTTACAGCTGACTGCCTCAAAGTACGCACTCACCTTTCAGGGAAAGTTTCGACCTCAACTGATCGATCTGATCATGCGCAGTCCACCCCTGCATGCTCTGGAAGTCTGGTCTGCTCCTCATGACGTCACAGGTTACGATATTCCCGCCAAAAAAGCCAACAAAACTTCCCTTTTCCCTCAAGACCAGCCCAAAACGGACGGACCAACTCCCTGTTGTTGTTACTGTATGTGCTGTTGTTTCCCAAACATGTCGTCATAAGTTAGTGGAACAATGCCGTTCCAGAACACCAAAGTTTTGAACGTAAACTAAACACGCCAACGTCCACAATATTTCTCTAAAACCACTCAAAACACCCACATAAACAATGCTGATTGATATACGACGTTTTCTTAGCAATTTGTAACCGATATTCGTTCCACAAAAAGTTTTCTTTCGACTTTGTGAAGTCACGGAAAACTTTGGTAGTGACGTCGTCTTCGGATGGAAGCGGTGCATCGTGGGATACAAGATGGCCGCCGGCGGGTGATTTGGAATTTCCTGGTAGGTGTCGTCTGACTTTTTGCAACGAATTCTGCACTAAATGTCTAACTCTGGTCGTCGAAATTGATTCAACACACTTAAGATATTATTAGGAGTATTCAGAGTTACTTGGATGTTTCTCAATGATGATATGTGAGTCGAATGACACAGCTAAAGCGTAACTTTCGATGCCCCCCTCCCCACTTTAGGCACTTGAAGCAAAGCGGAGAAGTGCAGTGTTGAGTTAGGAGGTGGAGCTCACGTCTTCAGAACTTGTTGAACATGGCGACGCCAAATTCTAAGATGAAAACACCGAAGATGAGAACTCCAATGTCAAGGTTTACACTCATGGGTTATGATAAAATTGATGTGGTTTTTCTGTATTCACTAACATTAACAAACACTTAACGTTATATTTTATCTACATACTAGTAATACTAGTAGTAGTAGTAGTACTAGTAGTACAAAATGTAGTAATAGTATGTAATAGTAGTTAGCATCTCTAACTCTGGTGTTGTGGCAACATGCAACATCTAGTATGGCTTACTTACGTAATTATGTTATAATAATACAGTGTGCCATAGTGGACTGGTGTGTAGTACAGCACCAAATTTAGGAAAAAGAGACTATATTTACAATCTAGTGTGAAGTTGAATAGGTATGTTTTTTTTCTGCCAGGTACAGAAGAAGACCAGCCCCATACCTCAACAACAGCTTCAAGTCACCAGTAAGTTGGAGGGGTTAAGGTGTATGTCCTGAAGTTGAGAGTCACAACTTTTTAGATCACTCCAAGGGAGTAAAATAATGATTTTGATGTGTGTGTGTGTGTGTGTGTGTGTGTGTGTGTGTGTATGTATGTCTGTGACTGTGTGTGTGTGAGTAAGAGAGTGAATCTGTATCTGTATAGCCGGTATAACTGCCCTTCAGCGTAACACACCAGCTTCTGTATCGGTATAGCCGGTATAACTGCCCTTTGGTGTAACACACCAGCTTCTGTATCTGTATAGCCGGTATAACCGCCCCTTCAGTGTAATACACCAGCCTCACAGGCACGTAGTGTGGTAGCAGCTGGCTACATTACACCAAATGACTGGTTACACCTCACCCCTGAGTGAGAGTGAGTCATATGCATCCTGTGAGTGTGAATGGGAAAAGGTGACTGATTTACTGGATCAGGTAGTGTAGAGGCTCCCTCTAACAGATTACAGCTGAATTACAGGATTCACTGCAAAAATGATGGATCTACCAAGTAGACCCCCAAATACCACTTGTTGTTTATTTCAAGACCAATCCATACAAAAATACTTTTAAGTAGTCAAAATCTTTTTCTATCGGTAACCTTTTCAGGTACAAATACTTTGTTAATACACAAACAAACACAGGTAAAAACATCATCCCTTTACCAGAAGCAGTAATACAGTGGCATACACAGACCTTACCTTAGACCTTAGATCCTCCCACAACCTTTTGTTGCATAGGTCGACTCCTTGTCTGACTTTTTTTCTCCAAAGGTTTTGGTCTTGCGCTACTACAGCCATATCCTTAAGTGAGTTAAGTCCGAGTTTTGCCCCATCATTACCTCCATGAAAAATGGAGGTATTGTTTTTGGCGGCGTCTGTCTGTGTGTCTGTGTGTCTGTGTGTGTGTCTGTGTGTCTGTGTGTGTTTCCACAACTTTGTAGTCAGCATAACTTCATAACGCCTTTATGGATTGTGATGATATTTGGTATGCTGATAAGTCTTAGGAAGACAAAGGTCAAGGTCAAATATGGGCCTCCTGGTGGATGACCTTGGTACTGCAGCAGAACTTCCGGTTTTTGTATCTTTGGTCCTGAACATGCTATGGTTTTGAATTTTTGGTGACAGATAGCTTTTCCTGTCAGGAATAAGTGGTGTGGGTTTGGTCCCCCTAGCAGCTTGTTCAGGAACTGCAGGGGACTTTCGGGCGAAATCTTTGAAAGCCAATAAGTCCAGATAGGAACGGCGTATTTTCATCATTTTTGGTGTGTAGGTATCTGACAGAGAGGTGTACATAATTAACTGCAAATTATGCAAATGAGGACTTTATTTGCATAATTAATGAGGAAATTCTATAATTACAGTGTTTTACATTATAGAACTTTCGTACATGTAAGGCCTAGGAAAAAAAATGTTGTGTTTCCGGTTACCCGACCGACCCTATGAAAAACCCCCCGACCCTAGCCTTTTTTGGGCCGACCAAAAATTTCGAGCGGCTAGCGGTCGGTTTTCAAAATTGGGGGTTTTATCCCCGATAAATGTGCTCGTCATTCCAATTTTCTTCGGTCGGGCGGCGTGGATCGAGCGCTAATTGCACGGATCGGGCCGCTATTCAATTCCATTGTCGGCACAATCCTGTCAATTGTCGATGAATTGTCGATCTCGCCATGACGCCGCAGAGAAAATCTGACACCCCGCTGGCGTTTCACAACAAAATTTTAATGTAAACAACTCCGAATGTCTTTGTTTACATCGTGAAAGCTCACCGATACTCCCGCCGGCCGGCAACGCCCGACCACATGGTTGAGGCATGACGCTAGTTTTCGGCAGCTCGGCGGAAAAATAATCCATCCCCATAAGAAATGTTACGCATGAAAATAACAACTACAACGTGCTTTCCTCGTTATATGAGTTTTTGAGGCCGTAAAATGTTTAAAACGGTTGAAATTTGCTCGAAAAACGGCTCGAAAATCCACGGCGAGACTGCCAAAATGGCCGACGGTGTTTCACAATAACAGTGGTCAAAGGTCACGACTGCATCAGTACATATTACAATGTGCTAAAACGAAACTTTAAACGCATGAAAAAAATTTTTTCGGCTACAACTGAAACAAAAATTCACTAATAGTTTTATAAGGTTAATTTTCAAACATTACTGAGAAATGTTCCGAATTTATTGGGGTTTTTTTGTGTTAAAATGTAATATTGTTGTTTCTATGAATGTGCGGTTGGATGCTGTGATTGTGAAGTCCCTTACATTGGGATAATCAGATGAGATATTAGAGATAATCACGCTTAGTACCGCGACCCGAGTGTCTCTCAAAAATTGTTTTTGAGTGGAGTTTATAGACATGATTTATTTGTTTAGCTTTGTCAATATGTGATTTGTTTGGGAAATAGGACTTGGTTTAGTTTTTAATATATTAATATAATGGATTTGGTTTAGTTTTTAATATATTAACGTCAGTAACACTTTGGAAAACTTGCTCCAAGTTCCAGGTAGTAAATACATGTACATTTTGTATCATGTATTTTTCACTTGTTGAACTTGTGGAAGCACCGTTGGCCCCCAGTTAGGGGTCATCCGGGGAACCTATGCCCAATTTTTTCAAAATTAAGGGTGGTAACAGAATTTTTTTGGAACATGAAGTGGATAATTAAGTACAGATCTTGAATCTTTCTCCTGCCTTATACATCTGCAATTGTACAGAAAATGTAGAACTGAAGTTGCAGGAAATGACCTCCATTTGTGTTTGGAAAAGACCTCCCCCCGCAACGCGCTGCGCACTCCTCCACCCTGCTCTGAATTTCTGGGGAGATCCCTGAATAAAGTGTTCAGTTCAGACCAAGGACATTATTTATTGTGTGTATAATGTCCTTGGTTCAGACTGTTTACATCTCGCTTGTCTGAATGTTTCTAGAGGTTACTATATACCAACTCTTTTGTTGAAGAATTTTACGATCTGTTTTGTACTGCCCAATTTTCTGTGTAGTACAAACAGATCATACGTTCATTGTCCCGCCCTTGAACTAAAAAAAAAAGAAAAAAAAAGGGAATCCCTACCTACCGACCCTAATTTTTTCTGGACTGTAATAGGAAACACAACATTTATTTTGTTAGGCCTAATGTATGTAACCTATGGCAGATGGAACATCAACAGATACTAATTATGCAAATGATGACCTAATTTGCATAATTAATGCAAAAAATCTATGATTTCTCAATGGTGAATGATGGGAATGTCATACTTAGGACATCTTTAAGTTAATCAAAAGTTAACATCACGATGCATATATTATGTTAATGCAGAGGTCATTTGCGTAATTAAAGAAGAAATTTACATGTACATATCAAGCCCATATTTCATGGAGGTATGAGATCTCGAAACTCTTGTTTTGTAGTGTTTTCCGTAAGGTGACTCTAGGCCGCCCTCTCGGGCGTGTGCCTTCTGGCTTCCATGTTAGAGCTGTTTTTGTGGTTCTGAGGTCAGGGAGTCTCCACACATGTCCAGCAAAGCTCAATCTCCTTTTCATTACAGTCGCACTGAGAGGTGGGACCTTTGCTCTTTGCATGAGCTCCGCATTTGATACGTGGTCACGCCAGGAGATGCCTAGTATAGTTCTGAGGCATCTACGGTGGAAAGTGTCTTAACATTTGCACTGTCTCTTTGGTGCTTCTCCAGGACTCACATGCATATATAGCAGTTGGTACCACAATGGACTGGAAAAGCTTCATCTTACATAGTCCCTGAAATATTAAGCAGGACTCAACTGAGACTAGACCAAATTTTGATTGAAAGTCACATCTCATAAATGTTGTACCAGAGAAGCTAGTCCCTTCACAAAGTCTGCTCAATATTTCAAGGGCCTGGGATGTTATGGGGGAAGGGGTACTTTTTTGGCTTACGTAGGCCAAATGCTGCATGTAGTTAGGTTTACGTCTTCTCTCAGACTGGTAGTCACTCCACCAAAACCATTTGAGTGAAGTTAAGTTAACCAGGATGGTTTCTAGCCAAATTCTAGGTCAATCCTTACCTTCACTCACACAAGATTCTTACTTCTTAGATTGTGGTTCTTCAATTTGGAGAATAAAACTTGCAATGTCAAAAAACTAAGACTTTCTTGAACACTAGTTATTCTCTACTTAGAACTACATGTACTTTCTTTTCACTGTTCCCTAAGAATTGAACTTTATACAATGTGTCTTTTTGTTTGAGAAATTGTGAAAAATACTGTCAATTTTGTGACAGTATTCTAATTCTCCCAGAGATGTACTAAAAATGTCATTCCTGATTTCCCGCTGTCTTGGTTGTGAACAGTAACGATTTTGTTCCCAATATTTCCTGTCCAGGTCACTAAGCTTGTTGGGCACCG